TATACTTAAGTTTGTCATTCTAAGCAGGATTTGCGTTGTTCCTGGTCATCGTTGGATTTGCCCACATCATGCTTAATGTGCCCCCTAGTCCGGTTTTTTTTCTCGAGCTTATAGGGATTTCTAGAATGCTCAATATAATCTGTACCGATGTAGTATATATTATCTTTAGTTTTCCAATCTGCGTGTTGCTGACGGTTCAGTTCCTGAGCCACGTGATCTAGAGCGAAAATACGTTCCTCCGCATCTACGTAGTGGATATGACAACAATGGTGGGTTTGAAAATGGTCAATCTCGGTACAGTGGTGGAGGTCGCGGATCCTATGGAGCTGGTCGAGGCAGTTACGACGGTAACTACAGTCGCAGTGGTAGAGGTCGCGGTGGCAACAGCGGTGGTGGAAGTTATGGTTACGGAAATCGCAATGGCGGTGGGTACAATTACGACAGGAGTTTCAGGAGATCGGATTCGGGTTTCAGTGGAGTCTCACGAAGATCCTACGATGAAAGTGGTTCTGTTGATTGGTCGCAGCAATTGCCTCGTAGTGAACGTCTTGAGAAAGAGCTTTTCCACAAAGTGAATACCGGCATAAATTTTGATCTCTACGATAATATTCAAGTCAATGTTACTGGTCCCAATGTCAATGAATTGACTCCCATACAGTCCTATGATGAGCTTGCCCTTACGAATATAATGCGGGATAATATTACCCGCTCTCAGTACTCCCGTCCTACCCCAGTTCAGAAATATGCTATTCCCATTATCTCTGCCGGACGAGATCTAATGGCATGTGCACAAACAGGTTCCGGTAAAACTGCTGCGTTCTTAGTTCCCATCTTAAATACCATGTTCGAGCAAGGACCCGGCAATTCCATTTCGGCCTGTGTAAGCCTCCTTGGCGTTACTTGACTAAGCTTTAGCTTGAAACGAATAGACGAAAACAGTTCCCCGTCGGTCTGATCCTCGCTCCGACGAGAGAACTTGCTTCCCAAATCTATGACGAAGCTCGTAAGTTTTCATACAGATCCAAAGTCAAGCCTTGCGTCGTTTATGGTGGCGCGGATATGCGGAAGCAACTTCTCGAACTGTCATATGGATGCAACCTCTTAGTCGCTACTCCTGGACGGTTGTTGGATGTGATAGAGCGTGGTAAAATCGGCCTCAATCATGTTAGGTACTTTTGGGTTATTTATAACTTTTGTCAAGATTCCTTGTATTGGATGAGGCTGATCGCATGCTTGACATGGGTTTTGAGCAACAGATACGCCGCATCGTTGAGCAAGATCATATGCCTCCATCTGGGACCAGGCAGACGCTGATGTTTTCCGCTACCTTTCCCAAGGAGATTCAAATCCTTGCTCAAGATTTTCTAAGTGACTACGTTTTTTTGACTGTCGGGAGAGTTGGAAGTACCAGTGAAAACATCACTCAGACTCTTCTCTGGGTTACCGAGGATGAGAAGAGAGATGCCCTTGTCGATCTTCTTGCAGATTCTAGTAACTTTTTCTTACTCCTGATTCATAATTCCTTTAGACCCTGGAGATCGCACGCTCATATTTGTTGAAACCAAACGGGGCGCAGATGCTCTGGAAGAATATTTGTTCCAAGAAAAGTATTCTGTCGCCAGCATTCACGGTGACCGTACCCAAGAGGATCGTGAGCTGGCGCTTAAATACTTCCGTCTGGGTGTAACGCCAATACTCGTTGCGACTGCCGTCGCTGCCAGAGGTTTAGACATACCTGATGTTAAAGTAAGAGGTCATATTTGTCATCTCCTTTTTTTCCAGCATGTCATAAACTACGACCTTCCCTCGGACATTGAAGAGTACATTCATAGGATCGGGCGTACTGGACGAGTTGGAAATCTGGGCAAGGCCACTTCGTTCTTTAATGACAAGAATCGTAATTTGGCAGCCGACTTGATTGAGCGGCTGGAGGAAGTTAATCAATTTGTTCCTCAGTGGCTCAAGTGCATTGGTGAAGAACCAGCACGTCATCAGCCATCTAGTCGGGGAAGACGCCGGTAAGTTTTACTCCGCAAATAGCGGCACTGCGTCAACATACAAACTTCAACTCGCACTGTAACCTTCCAGAGGCGGTGGTTTCGGTGGTCGTGACTATCGCCAACAACATGGCCGTGGTGGTGGATCCCAGCCCAGTGGAGGTTTCAGTGGTCGATATAGCAATTCAAGTGGTGGAATGATGAATTTCAATGGGAGTGGCGGCTACTCCAATTACAGTGGTGGTGGCGGTCGCTCGCGAAACGATCGTGTGGACTGGTGGTCTAACGAGTAGATATTTTTTTACTGTCTCGATGTCCGTTCTGGTTGCGAATATACTGATCGCTATCAGCATTACTCCCATACTTACTTTTCGCCATCTATTCCGAACTTTAAGTCTTACTCGCTTCTCTTATAACTATATATATATCTATATATATACATATATATAATCACAGAGAAGAATTTCACCCTTTCTGGTAG